TATATATATATATATATATATATATATATATATATATATATATATATATATATATATATATATATATATATATATATATATAAATAAACAAAAACACTTACTGTAATTGAGTGATTGTCCCAAACTGGAGACAATGTGGAATGTCACAACGATGAGATCTCTGAAATGGTAAAAATGACATATAATTAGAGTTTTGTAATGAAATTACATTTTTTTAAATAAAAAAAAAATTGCACGATCAACTAACTTTTACATACACAATATGTTTTAAATAAACATTTACAAGTAGCTGCTAACGTTAACGTTACATTTTTCACTTCCAGTACACGACTTTAGTATGACATAATCCAACAATCTTGTACATGCAACTTTCAAATAATGTCGAGTTTGTACAACGCTTCGTCATATTTTTAAAACATAAAAATGCAAAATATAAAGTTACGTGGAGATTGCTAACATTAACGTTAATCTATTATTATTAAGTTACGTTACAAGTGCAGTCTTCCTAAGATGAATATAGTAGACCATATATAGCTTAAAGTGACCCAAATTGCAGATAGGTGATAACAGATTAATATATTTTACTAGAAATGATAATTTTACTAGAAATTATAAAGTTTAACGTGTTCTAACCATAGACTGTAAAAATAGTCAACGTGCTTGCAAAGTGAATTACTTCGAAATGATGCAGATTTTTTTTGTTTTGTTTTTTAAATCATGCAAGCACTCTGCTTCACTGAAAAAGGATACACATAACTTACTCAAACGATGGTTAATTTTAAAAATGCAAGTGACGGCCGAAAATATCCAATGTCAGTTAATTCGCCATGTGACGATGAATCAATATCGATCGCATAAAAGAATCACGTCTTAAAATAGTTTACACATCAATCACAAATGAAGAAAATATCTTACCTTGTATACTCTCCCGATCAGATCTTCACTGTCACTTCTCTGCTACCGTTGTCTTCCTCGCGCTTAGCCCGCCGGCTAGCCCGCCTTCAGTGTTCCTAACCGATGCGCATGCCCGTCCTGGCGCCTTCAGTGTTCCTAACCGATGCGCATGCCCGTCCTGGCGCCTACAGTGTTTTTAAATTACGCGCATGCGCAACCTCTGCATTCGCTCTTTACGGCAACCAATTAAGTATAGTTTATGTAATTTGAGCAGGTTTGTTTCGAGTCCATTAAATTCATGTTGAGACAGCATAATTTGAAACAATAATAGCTATTTTATACTTTTTTAAACAAACTCTATTTAAATTGTTTGCTTAATTTCAATTACAGGCAAGAATCATTTTTTTGAGTGCAGATGAAGAAACTGATAGAAAAGAGACAGACAGACAGACGGAGAGACAGACAGACAGACACAGATAGACAGACGGAGAGACAGACAGATGGAAAGAGAGCCATATAGACAGATGGAGAGATAGACGGTGAAGAAACTGATAGAAAAGAGACAGACAGACTGAGAATCAGAGAAAGATAGACAGAAAAGGTAAAGAAACAGACAGATGGACAAATTGATGGATAGACGGACAGAAAAAGAGAGGGAAAACAGACAGAAAGAGAGATACAGAGACAGAAAGATGGATAGACAGAGAGACAGACAGACAGAGAGAGTGAGACAGATGTGCAGGAGTCTCTCTATCTGCCCATCCTCATACAGGTGTGTCAGAGCTGACCTTCAGCTAATCCCCTCATCTGACATCTGTGTGTGTGTGTGAGAGAGAGATAGAGAGTGTGTGTGTTTATGTATGTGTGAGATAGAGAGAGAGAGAGAGAGAGTGTGTGTGTGTGTGTGTGTGTGTGTGTGTGTGTGTGTGTGTGTGTGTGTGTGTGTGTGATAATGCAGTCTGCTCCAGTCATCTCTTTGGGATTGAAACTGTCATTTCCAGTTTGCATGAAGTGAATGCGGCTCAGGACACTCGCTGACCGACACTGATGGCTGACAGAGCAGATGAAGAGAGTGACGAGAATACAGAGCGGCAGCAAATGATGATCAACACATCAGGCTTTATTTTCTAACAAAATGTATTCAAATGATTATTATTAATGTTTTCATTTGATGATTCTTTTTCCCATTAAATGTCAAAGTCACCAGATCTAAGATAAATATGAAATGACATTCAGTGCATATATCAAACAACACTTCCCAGAAAACAAGTCATTTATCCTGTGAGTAAATAAACACCCTGATGGAGGAGGTCATCATCTGCAGCGTGTGCTTCATTAATGTTCACAGTAGACGCCAGCTTTACTCCACACATGCTGCTGCTGGACTCGAGGAAGTTCTGAAGTTCTGAAGTGTTTTAATATTCATGTGGATCTCTGGCGTCTCGGAGTGTGTGCAGCTCTTGGCTCTGCTGACGGCGGTAATGATGAGGAATGTTGGCGGCTGTTGCTGATATGAAGCCAGTGTTTCTTTCCCTCTGATTTTAGATTCATTAGAGGGATGATGGCAGCTCGCAGGGCATTTAATGCAATGGAAATATCATTCTCATTCACACCTGCGAGATGCTTCAGCACAGGGCTAAAATTAACACTCCAACAGAGCCAAGAGTCAACAAAACTGGCTTTATCAGGTCACTCTCCAGCTGTACAGCGTACAATAAGAAGAGAAAAACACATCTCAGATATAGTCTTCAGACATAAACTAAACTACAGCGTATACATAATCCAGATTACATCATTCATTACTGCCAGCACTGGCTATACTGTATTGCATGAAGTGTATAAAACCTGTGATGTGCTGTTGACTCACGTGCGTGTGTGTGTGTGTGTGTGTGTGTGTGTGTGTGTGTAGAGCATGACGAGTGTGCGTCCGGACAGCACGACTGTGATGAAAACGCTCTGTGCTTCAACACTGTCGGCGGCCACAGCTGCTCCTGCAAACCCGGATACAGCGGCAACGGCACCGTCTGCAGAGGTGAGTCACATGACCCTCCTCACCCTATCATGTGACCCACTTGACCCCATCACATGACCTGCCAGACCACTGAGCCTTTCACATGACCAGTCATGAAACACCTGAACCATAATGTCCACCTGACCCATCCACATGACCCATTTGACCCCGTCACATGACTTGCCAGGCAACCGACCCAGTCACATGATCCACCTGACCCCAGACCCCATCACGTGACCGAACTGACCCAACCCAGTACATAATCTACCTGACACCATCACGATACCCCTGACCCCAGACCCCATCACGTGACCCACCTGACCCCATCACATAGCTCAACTGACCCCAGACCCAATTACATAACCCACCTGACCTCATCACATGATCCACCTGACCCCAGACCCCATCACGTGACCCACCTGACCTCATCACATGATCCACCTGACCCCAGACCCCATCACGTGACCCACCTGACCTCATCACATGACCTGCCAGACCACTGAGCCTTTCACATGACCAGTCATGAAACATCTGAACCATAATGTCCACCTGACCCATCCACATGACCCATTTTACCCCGTCACATGACTTGCCAGGTAACCGACCCAGTCACATGATCCACCTGACCCCAGACCCCATCACGTGACCCAACTGACCCAAGACCCAATTACATAATCTACCTGACACCATCACGATCCCCCTGACCCCAGACCCCATCACGTGACCCACCTGACCCCATCACATAACTCAACTGACCCCAGACCCAATTACATAACCCACCTGACCTCATCACATGATCCACCTGACCCCAGACCCCATCACGTGACCCACCTGACCTCATCACATGACCCAACTGACTCCAGACCCTATCACATGACCCACGTGACTCCATCACATGATCCACCTGACCCCATCACATGACCCAACTGACCCCAGACCCAATTACAGAACCCACCTGACCTCATCACATGATCCACCTGACCCCATCACGTGACCCACCTGACCCCATCACATGAGCTACCTGACCTCATCACATGACCCACCTGACCCCATCACATGATTCACCTGACCCCATCACATGATCCACCTGACCCAATCACATGATCCACCTGACCCCATCACATGACCCACCTGACCCCATCACATGATCCACCTGACCCCAGACCCTATCATCTGATTATTGACCCGATCACCTGACCTTTCATGACTCCCCTGATCCTGTCACGTGACCAGCTAAACATCTGACACCACCTAACCCAAAATATCAACGCATCACATGACCTCTGACCCCAGGTGCTCTTTGTGACCCGCAGCGCTATGTGATGGCCGCTGTCTGAACGGTGGCTCCTGCGCATCCCCAAACGTGTGTGTGTGTCCCCAGGGCTTCAGCGGGCAGAACTGCGAGACAGGTAAGAGTCATTGCCCAGCAGGTATATGTCCATCTAATGTCATACGACGTTAATATTAGGTTAGATTTAGGTCGTGATGTCAGGGGACCAAAATTCAATGCCTAGCCAGCATCCAGGGACAACATTATTTTGATGTCCAATAACAATGTCAAATGACGTTGATATTTGGTTGATTTTAGGTTGTGTTAGAAACTGACCAAAATCCAACATCTTAAACCCGCGTCATATTGACGTCAGATACTGACATTCATTCATCAGGTATGGCAACCAAAATCCAACATCTGATAGACGCCGTAGTGGCAACGTCAAGCTGTACCATCATTAGACGTTGATATTTGGTTGATTTCAGGTTGGATGTTGGACATTGACGTCGGCCTGACTTTAGGTTCTGACGTCAACATGATTTTCATTTCCAAACAAAGTGCAACGTCCCCACGACTCTTTCTAGGTATACTAGAAACTTCCAGACTGGTCTGTTGAAGGAAGTTGGAGCTAAACTAAGCAGGACACCAACCCTCCAGGACTGAGTTTGGGCACCCCTGATCTAAACAGTCTCTGGGTCAATGTGTGTAAAGATTTTGGACATCTTCTTGGACACTTTTAATGCTTGGGCGATGACGACCAATTTGGCATCGTACGACGTGTAATGTGATAGATTGTGCGCGAGATGTCTGAAGAGTGAGGAGGGATCACGACTTATTTAAGGACCGGGAGGGAGACGCGCAATTCCCAGGAGATTATCACTTGTTTGCGGGCTTTATGAGTCTCGCAAATGCATAGAGACTTCCGGAACTTCAGGGAGACTTGGGATGTCTGAATATCACGTTTAAGAACTATAGTGAGACGCGATCCGGCGGTACATCCTTGATTAACTATCTGACTTGGTTCACTGCTCTCCGGCTGGAGCTCAGAGGAGCGCATGACGTTGTGTGTCTGTGTGTGTGTGTGTGGCTCTGCTCTAAAATGCCATTTTAATACTAAGTTGTATGAGTGTAAATGGGGCCCTGAGTGTGTATTTTTTGCAAGTGGGTTTGCGAC